TTGGTAGATGGTTTTGCCATTTTTTTAAAAGGCAGTAGCCAAAGCTTAACGAGTTAAGTGCGAGTTCTATGTTCTTTTCCCCTGTTGAGTTACTAGTATAATATGGTTGAAATTAAAAGAGCTTTCGAGATTTACGAATTTAGTTTAATATGCTTAGATAACCATCTAAATATGACTTTCGATTTGGATCTATTAGACATAAGATCAAAGGTATTAGTTCCAAAGGTATTAGAGAACTAATGGGCATGAGTTGATTAGATTTGATGGGTAAAGGTGAACTTTTTATTATTGTTATTTCTTTATCCAAAAAGTCTCACTTATGTTTCTTGAAACTTGAAATTATGTGTTGGAAATGATTCTCCTTTCCATGAGACGCCGAAGCCATAATTGTATTGGCATCATAATATGAAAGAAATGATTTGCTCAAGAGTGAGGACCCTAAAATTCCTTTCTACGCTACAATACATTTTAATGTCAGAATTGACATTATGTATATAGGGAATTATTGGACGCAAGAAGAGGCTTGGATGGAGGGGACCTATCATGTTGTCTAGTTGACATCAACATCGGCGTGGATGAAATATGTTGGCATATATAATCATGAATCTTCCCCAACATACAAGTTTCCTGAGGCCACTTTTTGGACATACAATTAAAATATGAACAGCTTTGAACACTATTATAATGGGCTGGAGGAGCCTTACTATCTCTGCTAAATTGTGAAGTGCAAAGAAAAAGCTAAAGTGATTAAAAGCATTTTTAGAATCATTCTTTTAAATGATATATACATTACATAAATGAAGAACATTACCGAAATGGAACGACAAATAAAAGAGTAATAAATGCAGGAGGCATAAATTGTGTGTGGGTCGTTTTCAAAGGTGAAGTGCATTTACTAATAAAACCCAAACTTCTATGAGGAAAATATTGATTTTAAAAGAATATTTCACAGAATTCTAATAAATATTAATATAAATATGATTCTCGTGAATCTCATTCATCTCAAACCTTTTTTTTTTTTTTTTTTTTTTTGTTTTTTCAAAATAAACATAAAATAAAAATAAAGATAGCAAAGAGAACGCACCATCATCGCCCACGCTCCGCCACTGTACACTATCCTTCCCTTTGGACGTGAAGCGTATGATATTTTTCATTTTAATTTCAATTTCCCATACTGACCTTCTCGTGGTCCTGGAATGTCACAGCATCAATGGGGGGCAATGTAGTACGAAACGGGAATGTAACCGCTAGTCACGTGCTATCCACGTGACACGTACCTTAGGCAGTTAACGACGCCGTTACATCTACACTAGCGTAGTTCTTGCAGCTAAGCGCCCTAAGGATCCTCCAAGTCGCTTCGCCTGAGCTCCGATTATTGCAGTGATATTTACCTTTACTCTCGTTCGCCGGAAAGAGTGCCGACGAACTTCGGCGGACTTGTCTGCTCTTAATGTCGCTGAGGTCCATCTCCGCTGGAAACTTCACCATTCCGAACATTAGCAAGTACCACCGCGGCTTTGACGAAGCCTTTTTGTTCAGTGGATCAGGCTTCAATCCGGCCTTGATCGAACAATTACGATCGATTTCAGCCGTCGGTGAAAAAATCGAATTAGTTTGGCGATAGAGCTTGCGGTAATCGAGCGATCGGCTATTCCGCTTGAGATTGATCTTCGCAGTGTTCGATCGAGAAACAGAGCTCTGCAATCCAGACAATGACTCAGAGCGCTTTCGAAAGACAGTCTGTTTTCGACTCTCATCCTTCCAGAAACTCTTCTCGGCTGTACGATTAGTACTAGTAGTAAGCTGAGAATGATCATTGAGAGGAAGCAACCTGCCGCAGAAGATCAAATCCTCGGCCGGAGAAATCTCAGAGGTGATAAATCCAGCACTGAAAAATTCAAAGAGATCGAGAGGCTCGGAAGAGGACCTACGTGGATTCTTCCGGAAGCTCTCCGGAGTGTGGCCGTCGGATTTCTGTTTGTCGAGCGGAAGATCGGAGAAGGAGAGAGCTTCCTCCGCTTCGTTTTCGTCTCCGTCTTCGTCATAGTGGTGATCTTGTCTGTGCTGTGAGGTTAGAGGCTTGGATTCGCTCGTGTCGTCCATGAACATTCTGCGGAAGGAAGATAAAAAAAAAACAAAAAGGAAAAAGAGTGTGTTTGGAATGATGCCAAGTTTCGTGACGACGAAAATGATATATAGCCACACACATAACCGTGAAACAGAGATGATATCAATGCCGCCTTTATATTTTGGATTTTTCTTCCAAAATCAACCTTTTCTTAAAGGAAAAAAAATAATATTATTTTCAAGGAATAAAATTCAAATTTATAATCTTTTTAATAATCATATTTGAAACCTATGCTTCTTTAGATATTATTTAATTGTACAGAAATTAAATATTATTATTATTTGTCTATTTTCCAAAATTTAAGAAAAATACTAATAAAAAAAAGTCTAAAATTACAATATTTTTTAACTTATAAACACTTCAAAAAAAAATTGCTTTTTAAGGCAAATATATATATTTTAAAGAAGGAAAATGACTTGAATAAATAATAGGAAGAAATTCATTTTTATAAATGAGAGTGTAAAATAATAAAGCATTTAAAAATGGAAAAGGAAAAGGGAAAAGAGAGAATTGGAGGTTACCGAATATTGAAGTTTAGTTTTGTCCAAACTTGACATTTGAGCCAATAAAAGGTAAAGCCTTTGGTATCCATGGCTTCCTTCTAGAATTTTAAAATAAATAAAAATAAAAATAAATAAATAGAAAGTTTATTCATAAATACATTTTGAAGAATTTTGAGTGCATCTTATTCATTTGACCTTTTCCCAACATTTAATTAAACTTGTTAGCATCTTACTAAATATTGAAAATAATAAATGTAGTTTTAGAATATTTTATGATGTCTGAAGTAGATAAAATGGTGGAGAAAAAGTCATAGATGGGACATGGAAGACCAAACCCTAGATTAGTTAACCTTTTGATTAATTGTCTTCTATATATATATTGGTGATGGGTATAAAACACACATTGAGTTGTAAAGTCTTGTGCTATGAATGTATAAGCTGGTAAAGAGTGCATGTATTGAGCTACCAAGGAATTGGTTCTAGTTACTCTTTCGATGGTATGTGATTGTAATGACATGGGAACCACTGAATGGGGGCGCAAGAGAGAAAAAGCATATTAGATAGTGATTGTGAGACACCAATTCTTGACTGGGATGGGACACCAAAGGCTTATGCTCTTCTATTCCTTTGATAGTTAGAGAGGGAGGGTAGAGTTTTTTTTTTTTTTTTTCTCGATTTTTTCGTGTTATCAAAGAGTTGAATAAAGAAAATAGATGGGGAGTGTCTAATTGAATTGATTGGGTCGTTGGAACAAGATTCAAGTCTACCAATATGTTAGGATGCCTCAACTGCATACATCACTTCATTTCCACTTGACACCTATCAGGATGGTAAATGGCTCATCTCACGGTGACTTTCGGTTGAATTCTCAAAACTCTCTCTCTCTTGAGTTCGCTATCAAAAGCTCAAAGAAGGTTGGAATGGGAGACCATTTAGCACATAAGCTGAGAAGTTCTTAGTGAATCGTCCCTACGCTTGGCCCACGTTTATAATTTTAGTTGTTCAAACTAGTTTAGTCAATTGAGAATAAGTTTTGGAAAAAAAAATTCTAGAGATAAGTTAATATATCTATATTTGTTAATTTAAAAGTCAAAATTTTAAATTTCTTTCAATACTTTGTTCAATATTTTGTTGGGTTTATAATGAAAATGTAGACTTTGAGGATTGCAATAAATACATGATAAGAATAATATAATCATAAAACTGTTAATTATAATTTAAAAAGAAAAAAGAAAAACTGTTGTCAGAGCAATAGCCAATAATGTTCGGCCACGTGTGTGAAAGTGTCAGAACTCAGAAAATAAGAGAAATTGGTCAAACTAAAAGATGTTGACTGCTGAGATTGGTCAAAGCATTGATTATAAGATCACATTACATTATATTTCTGATACTAAATAAATCAAACACTCCAATCAACCTTCCTTTCCTTCTACTTTACATTTCTCACCTAATAATCTCTCTCTCTCTCTCTTTTTTTTTTTTTTTTTTTTTTTTTTTTTTTTTTTTTTTTTTTTTTTTTTTTT